ACTGGAGAACAATCACTGGAGAACAATCACTGGAGAACAATCACTGGGAAAACTAATGGGACCACAGGCTGACAAGTCCCATACACCTGATGGACTGCATTACATGGCCTTGAAAGATATGGCTGAAGAGATAATGGATGCAAATGGTTGTAACTGCCAAGATTTTGGAAAGCTGCCGATACAAACCACATTAAGAGGCAAGGAGAAAGCAGGAAACTATCGGCTAGTTAACCTAACAGTCATCATTGGGAAAAATGTTAGAATCCAGTGTTAATGAGGTAAAGCAAGACACTTAGAAAATCCAAATACTATCAGGGAGAGTCAATATGCTTTTGTGAAAGCAAAAGTTTTTAACAAATTTGTTAGAGAACTTTGAGGATGTAACATGCAGGATAGTGAGAGGGGAACCAGTAAACGTAGGGTATTTTGATTTCCGAGAGGCATTCGATAAAGCACCACATAAAAGCTTACTGCACAAAATAGCAGCTCATGGTATTAGGAGAAATTTATTAGCATGGATACAGGAATGTCTAATAGGAAAGAATATTGGGATAAATTATTTTCACGTTGGTAAACTAACTAGTGATATGCCACAGGGATCAGTGCTAGGGCTTCAACTATTTACAAGCCATGTCAATGACTTGGATGAATGGACAGACTGTAAAATAGTCAAATTTGTTAAGGATACAATAAGCAATTTGTCAGGAGGTTATAGAGTCTGCAGAAGGATACTGATAGGTTGAGTGAGCACCTTAAAAGCTTGGTTTAATGTGGAAAAAAAAGAGAACTTGTCCACTTTGACAGGAAGAATAGAAAAACTGATTGTTTTTTTAAATGACGAGAGACTGCAAAATACTGCATTAGAGGGATCCTGGTGCCTTTATACATGAATCACAAAATGTTATCATGCAGATACAGCAAATGAAATTTTGGAATATAAGTAGGGAAGTCTTGCTACAACTGTAGAAGACTTCATGGTGTATTGGGTATAGTTTGATCTCCTTATTTAAGGAGGGGTATACTTGGAAACAGGTCACTAAACGATTTCTGGGCTAAGAGATTGCCTTATGAAGAGCGTTGAGTAGATTGGGCCTATTGACATTTAAGTTCAGAGGCATGAGAGTTGATCCTATTGAAACACACAAGATATTGGAAGCTTGAGAAGATAGATCCTGGGAGGATATTGACCTATATTGGGGGAGTCTAGAATTATTGGGACTCAAGTTAAAAATAAAGGAGTTTCCCATTTAAGACAGAGATGAGGAGGAATTCCTTCCCTCAGAGGGTAGCAGAATTCTCTTCCACAGAAAGCAGCGGAGGCTGGATCTTTGTTTATAGTCAAAGACTGAGTTAGATTTTGTTTTTGACAAGGAACTTCAGGATTATGATGGAGAGGTAAGAAAGTGGAGTAAAGTCACAATCAGATCAATCACAGTCTTGTCAAATAGCAAACAGGTTCAAGGGGCGACATGGGCTTTGCCTGCCATTTTTTATGATCTTGGGGGAGAATAGAGAAATAATACTGAGTTAGGAAACCTTCCTTTGCAGTGAGCGTTTAGAATCTGGAATGTGTTGCCTGTGAGTGTGGTGGAACCAAATTCAATCATTGCTTTTAGAAAGCAATTGGACAAGCACCAGAAGGTTTAAATGTTATGGGTGTCAGAGTAAAATGGCTGGGAAGTGAGAATCGCTAAATTGCTTGCAAGCTGGTACAGACTTGATGGGTCAAATGGTGAACAATTGTGCTGTAACCAGAAAAATGAAAGAACTGAAGGGCAGAGAAACAGGATGTAGAGGGAAAAGGTGGAATTATTGATCCAAATAGCCTATTTACAATTCATAATTTCTGTTGAATTCCATATAAACGCTTTACCTTCGCTTTTCTATTCCAAGAAATAATTTCAAGTTGTTCAGTTTGCCAGCGTGATAGGGATTCCTGAAAATCTGATTGAGGTGAAGAAAATTGTAAAGATTCAGCAGAAAACAAGACTGAGGCAACTTCCAGCTAACAGTTTCTCTTGCCCAAAGACAGCATGGGGTGGCTTGTTCAGTTTGGTTTACATTGATCGGATTGGGCTTTATACAACACTGGGACAGTACAAAGGAAGCTCTACTCTGTACCTAACCTTGTACTGTATCCACCCCGAGAACACTCGATAGGGACCGTATAATTGAAGCTTTCAAACACTCCCGGGTCAAGTACAGCAGAGGGCTCGATGCTGAATGAAGCTCCAGCTACACCGGACCCATCAAACACTCCCAGGACTGTGTAGGACGGGTAAAGCACGGGGTTAGATACAGAGTAAAGCTCCCTCTGCACTGTCCCAGGAGTGTTTGATTACTCTGTATCCAACAGAATAACTCCACAGAGGCCAAAATCTTGTCACCCTTTATTTACACATGGAGAGTCCCTGATACTTATCCAGCTTCCTTACAGCCAGCTCTCAGTGAACAGAACATTTGTTTATATCTGTCAGCCAGGGCTCCCTGATTGGACAAGATTAACAGACCCAATCATAAATTCATATGCCACAATGTCCACCCGGCCAACCTTATTACAATCACTACACTAACCCTGTGCTATATCTGCCTGAAGAGGAAAAGTGTCTGGCCTACAGCAACAGCATCCTTTGCGTTAATGAGCAAAGAACATTCACAGGCATACCAGCACATGGTATTCTTTGGTGGTCCTTTCTCTCCCACAGCCCTGACAGGCAATTTAGGATAATGATCAACTTTGTTACACCTGGGACTCACTGCCAGTGCAGATGGCAGAGGAAGGCAGCCTGAGGTCATCAGATCACACACATCACTTGTATCATGCTTTTCAAGTGGGGATTAAATCTTACACCTCCACCTCCCCCACACTGTGGGTTCACTTCTTCCTCCCCACCACTAACTGGCAACTCAGAACCCTGCATCAAGCCCTGCTCAGGAGGACAGCCTCTCAACAATGTTATTCGGTGAATTTGGCGTGGGATCAGGACATGGAGAGTCTCTCTGAGAAAACAATTTGACATTTGGCGAGGAGGACTAAAACATTGCTGCTCATTTCTTCACCTACATCCCTCAGGCACTGATCCAAGTTACCACGCCTCCTGGCCCAGCTATGCGACGGCAGACGTCTAGCCCGATACCTCACTTCCCCACTGGTGTCCTGCAAGCTTTCACCCATTTCTGTAACATCTGACACAGCACCCTTCAACCCTGTAACCTCCCAACGCTGCCCCAACTCTGTAAATCTCCTGACACTGTCCCGTGACCATTGGCTACCTCTCAACATCTCACCTGACCCATGCCCTTCACCCCCGACATTCTACACCAACCCAGTGCCCCAGCCAACACTGCATGCAATAGCAAAAACCCAAGAGCAGCCAGCTCCCAGCTGTTCGGTGTTCTGAGAGCCCAGGCCTCAGCACACAACACGGTCGAGTTCAAGCCCAGGTGACTTACTCTGCCTTTCTTCTGCTGTCTCCGACGTTCTTTCTTGTTGATGTGTCTCTCAATGCTGGTCTCCCCACAGAGAATGAGGACCGTGTGCCACAGGGTGAGGCCACTGAGCGCCAGGGCCACGGAACTGACCGAGGAGAAAAGGGCAGGATAGGGGGATTAAAAAAAACAGAGAGAGGGGATCAAATCAACAACAGGTCAAACTTCAAGTCCCAAAAGTCACACGTCCTACCTATGCCCAGAAGCTTTATGCGAAGGGATGAGGACAAATGTAATTTAACTCCTGCTTTATTATTTAAAGTCAGAGTCACCCCATACAAATCACTTATACTGTGAAATTACTGTGAAGTGAATATCCTCTTTAGGCAACAGTAGCAGATTATCTGTGCTCAGTAAGATCCCACAATACAAACTCGATGGTGGTTGTATCAGTAAGTGAGAACACTGACCTGCAGAGAACCCAGAGATAAATTATACACTTGTGGAAAACCTTTTCTCGGAAGGATATGGTGGGAGCTGTTGTCTCTGTGGCCGTCTGTCGGAGAGAACGAGAGAGAGAGAGAGAGGGAGAGAGAGAGAGAAAAAGAGGGCATCAGTCAGGAGCTGATGGGAATCCACACTTAGCTATATCTCACACATCACTCTCATTATCAAAGATGGCTTTAGTTATTTCAAACAAAGAAAATCAGTCGCCCAAAGAAGAAAATGAACAAATAGCAGATTTTCTCCAACAGCTTTAAGGATCAGAGTGAGGAGAGAGTCGAATGGGTGACAAAGAAGTGTCAGGACTGCTGTAATATAGGGACTATAGCAGCTGTTACAGGCACAGCAAGCTCCCACAAACAGCTATGTGATAATCGCTAGATCATTGTCTTTTCATGATATCAACTGAATGTTAAATATCTATCAGGACACCACGGAGAACCCTCTTGCACCTTTGGGAAATAAGACTGTGTTTGCCGAGGGGACAGACAGGGGGTCAGTTTAACATCTCATCCAAAAGACGAGACACTATTCACATCAGCCTCAATTTTTGTGATTAAGTGACTGGAGACTTAAACCTGCCCCCGAATTAAGTGGAGAGCAAAAATGCCAACTACACTAGTCCAGACCTGACCACCAGCAGAATTCAGCCAACCTAGGCTCTAACTTGTGGTATACAGGACACAGATAGGAAACTGGCGCAGGGCTGATTGGCCTCCCTCTGCTCTGTAACACTTGTCAGAGTCATACAGCACGGAAACAGACCCTTCAGTCCAATTCACCTGCACCCACAACAAATCCCAATATGACCTTGTCCCATTTGCCAGCATTTGTCCCATATCCCTCTAAACCCTTCCTATTCATATATCCATCCAGATGCCTTTTAAAGGGTGTAATTGTCCCAGTCTCCACCACTTCCTATAGTAGCTCGTTCCATACACAGACCAACCTCTGCATGAAAATGTTACCCCGCATTCTGTAATTCTGGGTCATAGTTATCTACTGATCCATCCAGAAGATAGTTGCACTAAGTTTTTAAACACACAGTTTGATCAAAATTATGGATTTAGAAACAGAGCCCAGTGTAAACATCATCAATAAAATACACAGCTGCTTTTTAATTTCAATTTTGGGAAGAGTAAGATAACAGTGTCACTTTGATTGAAGGGCATCTTGACTTTACAGGAGTGGGCTAACTTTTCCGGTCACGTGTTCCATATTTCCAAAACTAGAAATAAACTTTCTTGCAGGAATTTGAGCAGAACAGAGTCAACGGGCTTGTCTAAGAGATGACCTGATAGAGATTTTTAAAGTCGTGAAGAAATTTCAATAGAGAAGGTGCAAGAGAGATGAAAACCAAGGGTTATAGATATAAGACAGTCACTGAAAATCCCAGTGAGGAGTTCAAGAGGAACTTCTTCACCTAGAGTGGTGAGAATGTGGAAATCGCCACCACTGGGGGAGGTGAGGTGTACACTGATGATGTACTTAAAGGAAATATTAGATACGTACATGAAGGAGAAAGGATTTACAGATAGGGTGAGAAGACAATGGAGGAATGCTCTGGTGGAACACAAACATTGCTAAACAAACCGGTCCAAATTCTACACAAGGAAACATTTCTTTTGAAATAAATCATTCTAGCACACCGATGTGAACACTTGCAGCTTACGTTGATGGTGAAGTATGCATCCACAAACAGCTCCCTGCTGCTCACACTACAGTACACACAGCCCAGTGTCATAAATAGGCAGAAGGAGAAGAAGTATCGGTGGTTAAAATGGCCCACACAGTTATTCAACCAAGCTGGCTGTAGAGTTAAGGAGAAAAGACAATCCTGGGAAGAAACTGCAAAGACAGAGCCTCCTTTTATTTCACTCTTTTAATGCTCAAGAAGGGAGTTTTATGAAATTCAGCTCGTGTTTATTCATTATACCTCATGCTGAACATGGGTGTAATTGATGGGATCAATATGGATAGAGGTTACTCTGTACCTAACACATGCTATAGTACCCTGGGGACAGTATCGGGGAGCTTTCCTCTGTATCTAACCCTGTGCTGTACCTGTCCTGCAGTGTTTGATGGAGAGAATGTAGCGGAAGCTTCAGTCTGTACCTAACACATGCTGTACCTCCCCTGGGAGTGTTTAAGGCAGACAGTAAAGGACAAGCTTAACTCTGTATCTAATCCCATACTGTAACTTGCCCGAGAGTGTTGATGAAGTAGGTGTTTGATATGGGTTTTCTGGACTAAGTAACTCAGCTTGAAGAGGATTTAAAGTAACAAACAATAAAACACTGAAGTATAGAAAGGATACGACAATGATGATCCATCTTCAATATACATCTGGAAGACAAGAAAGTGCTGGTTAATCAATGGAGGAACATTGCCTAGTCCTGCTCCTCATATAAAGTCTATTCTAAATTTTGAAAAGTGATCAAACTCTGCCAGACTGCTGTAAAAGAAATGGTTCATTAATGTCCTTTAAAGAAAGGAAACCTACTGCCCTTGTCCAAGCTGCTCTACATTTGACTCTGTGCCACACCATCGGCTCTCTGATGTTAATGTGAAAAGCACTCAAGCAAATCAAATAACTTCCAGGATTTATAAATAAAGGAGTGACTACCATCTTCCCAGGGCAATTATAAATGAACAATAAATGTTGCCCTCACCAGCAATACCCATACACTGAGCATAACTGGGAAGGAGTGTTCTTTCAGGATTAGTTCCACAGGGATTCATCCTGCTGCTACTCCATCTAGGTGGGTGTGGGATTGTGAGTGTAGGTTGCCTATTCTACCATGGGAGAAGGCACAGCGGTGCTCCAGCCAACCCTCCCCCAACAACCCTATGTTAACCAACCAAGCAGGAACAACCCCTGCCCCTACACACACTCGCATGCGCTAGCAATGGGAAAATCCTAGCCAATTAATCCTGCTTCGCCCCGGGTAAACTAAACCCTAAGATCATTTCAACTGGACAGAGCAGAATGTTTCCTTTCTGTCATAGAGCACTAGTGCAAGCTATCCAATGTAAGCCACTTGCAATTATTCCCCTTAAAATAGCTCAGCAGTTCTCTCTTCTTTTGAAACACTTATTTAATTCCCTTTTGAAAGTTACTATTGAGTCTCCTCCCGAGGTCTGTCATACTTTAGGCCAACATTTTAACCACTGGCTGACAACAGCCTCCAAGAACAGTAGCAGAACAGCTTGGTGGATGGATTACTTGGGTAATTACTGGGAGGGGGGACAGTTAGTGTTGAGGAAGCAGGGAGACTGCAGAAGGACTTGGACAGACTAGGAAGGTAGGCAAAGAAGTGGCAGAAGGAAGACAATATGGGAAAGTGTGAGCTAATGCACCTTTGTAGGAAGAATAGCGGCATAGACTATTTTCTAAACAGGGCAAGGCTTTGGAAATCTGAAACACAAAGGGACTAGTGAGTCCAGTTCAGGATTCTCATAAGGTTAACATGCAGGTTCAGTTGGCAGTTAAGAAGGCACATGCAAAATTAACATTCATTTCAAGAGGGCTAGAGTACCACAGCAGAAATGTATTACTGAGACTGTGTAAGGCTCTGGTCAGAACATCTGGAATAGTGAGAGCAGTTTTGGGTCCTTATCTAAGGAAAGATGCACTGGCGTTGGAGGAGGTTTACAAAAATGATCCCGGGGTGAAGGGCTTGTCATATCAGGAGCAGTTGAGGAGACTGGGTCTGTACTCGATGCAGTTTAGGAGGAGGAGGAAGGGATCTGACTGAAACTTACTGAATGTCGAGAGGCCTGGACAGAGTGGACATGGGGAAGATATTTCCACTAGCAGGAGAGACTGGGACCCGAGGACGCAGCCTCAGAATGAGGGGACAACCCTTTAGAACAGAGATGAGGAAGAATTCCTTCAGCTGGAGTTTGCTGAATCTGTAGAACTCATTGTCGCAGAAGGCCATGGAGTGTATTTAAGACGAAGATAGACAGGTTCTTGATAAGGAAGGGGATCAAGGATTACGCGGAGCAGGCAGGAGAAAGGGGTTGTGAAGCAAATAAGCCATAATTGAATGACAGAGCAGACTCGATAGCCCAAGCAGCCTAATTCTGCTCCTATATCTTATGGTCTTATGGTAATGGATACTGCCCTTCCCTCTGCCCCATGATTCACTCTTACCGGTTACATATGCTGCAGTGATGGGTACGAGCTGGTTTGGGATTGATACACTTCCTGCAGATTGAAACCATTGGAATGTCACTTTTCCCCTAGCAATGAAGATAGACATAAACATGTAACACCCATACTGTGGCAGCTTCAGCATGGATTAGATACAGAATAAACTCTACACTGTCCCCAGCAATTACTCCCAGGACAGGTATAGCACAGGGTTTCTGTTCATAAACCAGTTGCTCCATTATTTACGTTATACATTGTGAATGGTACTATACCAATGCAAACAACTTCCTTCCAACACTCTTCTCCCCCTTTATGACTGCAAAGCTTTACCTTCAAAAACCTTTCACACCACGCCATGAGCCACACATCCTTTCTGTTCTTTCTGGATTATAGTCTCCTCCTGTCCACCTTACCTTGTATCAAAGAACCCATACCTCTGTTGGATATCCAGGGTGTGTCCGCACAGCTTTGTAGTAGTGAAATACAATCTGCATAAGGTTCCAGTGCCCATAGCAAAGGTGCCACACAATCCAGCCCATAGGATATGTACTCATGATGACTGGCAGCACACAAATATAGACAATCATCACAATTGTGGTCGTTAGGATGATGACCAGGATCACAAAGACCTGCAAAAGGTGAAGAAGAAATGAACCTAAACAGAGTGTGAAGGGAAAGAGAAAGGGAGGAAATGCAGAAAGTAAGGAGGCATGGGATAGGGGGAAATGTGGCAGATTGGATTCAGAATTGGCTGACCCTTAGAAGATAAAGTGTGGTAGTGGATGGAAAACATTCAACATGGTGCTCAGTTACGAGTGGTGTACCACAAGGATCTGTTCTGTCCTCTTCTTTTTGTGATTTTTGTAAATGATTTGGATGAAGGAGTGGAAGAGTGGATTAGTAAGTTTGCGGACAATACAAAGGTGGGTCGAGTTGTGGATAGTGCGGAGGGCTGTTCTAGGTTACAAAGGGACATTGATAGGATGAAGAGCTGGGCTGAGAAGTGAGTTTAACCATGAAAAATGTGAGGTGATTCATTTTGGAAGGACAAACTTGAAAGCAGAATACAGGGTTAAGGGAAAGATTCTTGGCAGTGTGGAGGAGCAGAGGGATCTTGGGGTTCATGCCCACAGTTCCCTGAAAGCTGCCACCCAGGTGGATACAATTGTTAAGAAGGCGTATGGTGTGTTGGCTTTCATTAATAGAAGGATTGAGTTCAAGAGCCGTGAAGTTATGCTCCAGCTATACAAAAGCCTGGTTCAGCCACATCTGGAGTACTGTGTCCAGTTCTGGTCGCCTCATTACAGGAAAGATGTGGAAGCGTTGGAAAAGATGCAGAGGAGATTTACCAGGATGTTGCCTGGAATGAAGGGAAGGTCTTACGAGGAATGGTTGAGAGAGCCAGGGTTTTTCTCTTTAGAACGACAATGGATGAGAGGTGACTTGATAGAGACATACAAAATGATCAGGTGTAGATAGAGTGGACAGCCAGAGACTTTTTCCTAGGGTGGAGGTAGCTATTACAAGGGGTCATAGTTTTAAAGTGAGTGGAGGTACATATAGGGGAGATGTCAGAGGTTCTTTACTCAGAGAGTGGTAGGGGTGTGGAATGCATTGCCGGAGAGGGCAGTGGAGTCGGCATCATTAGGGGCATTTAAGCGGCTATTAGATAGGCATACGAATGATAGTATAAGGTAGGGGTGGAGGTTAGATAGACCTTAGCTTTAGGCTAAAAGTTCAGCACAACATCATGGGCCGAAGGGCCTGTACTGTGCTGTACTGTTCTATGTTCTAACGTTCCATCACAAACTAGAAGGCACAAGTCAGGAGAGTGTTGGAATACTCCCCAGTTACTTGGAAGAGTGCAGCTCCAAAAAGTCTCAAGCAGCTCAACACCATCCGGGACAAAGCAGCCCGTTTGATTAACATCCCATCAACATGCCAAACATTAATTCCATTCACGATCAGCGCACAGTGGTAGCAACGAGTACCATCAGTAAGACACACTGCAGCAACTCTCCAATGCACCTGACCTCTACCACCTGAAAGGAAAAGGGGAGTAGATGCATGGAAAATCACTAACTGCAAATTCTCCTCAAACTAGCACACCATCCTGACTTGGAATTATAACGCCATTAGCTTCAGTGTTGCTGGATCAGAATCCTGGAATTCTCTTCTTCAGAGCATTGTGGATGTACCTGTTCTGAATGAACCACAGCACTGTATGAAGGCAGATGGCCACCAGTGTCTCCTGGGCAACCAGAGATGGGAAATAACTGCTGGCCCAGTCACAGACACCCACTTTCAAAAGTGGATAATAAAAAATAAGTTGAAGATGCTACACTTACCATTCCAAACCACCTGGTCACATGATCTACCAGCCAATAGATGGGCTCAAATAAGGAGTCAAGGACAACGTCAGTGTTGGTGAAGGAGTTGTAGACAAGTGAGTTGATGCACAGTTTGGTGTAGTTCCAGAGGGCCTTCACCTGGTGGAAGAGCTTCGATCGCCGCCTGCGACCTACACGGAGACACTTCAGAAACAAACGCATTGCAGTACAGACACAATGCAGTCGCCTTCTCATTCCAGCACCGGCCAGCCTGTGACAAAGAATTAGGATATACCTGGATATAGGTTAGCTAGGGAGAGTAAAGCTCCCCCTAACACTTCGATCAGGTTAGAAACAGAGTAAATCTCCCTATCAAACACTTCCAGGACAGGTACAGCACAGTTACAACAAATACAAAGAATACTGCAGCTGATGTAATGTTGAAAGCTTTTAAGAAATGATAGGAACAGGAGTAGGCTATTCAACCGTTCAAACCTGTTCCCCAATTCAAAGAGATCATGGCTGATCTGTGGCCTAACTCTATATACCTGCCCATATCCCTTAAAGTTTTACTTAATAAACATTTGTCTATCTCAGAGTTAAAATGACCAACTGATCTAGCATCAACCAGCAGACAAATGTACATGTTCGACTTTTATTTTTAAGAACGAACCCATTCTAAGCAACATCCATGAAACGAGGGTGGATGGGTGGGTGTGAGCTACCAGATAGCTGAAGTTGAAATAAAACTAGAAAACTGAAATGTAAGAGAGTAGCATTCTCCAAGATTTTATTGTCCAGGTGAACAGAAAACAAAACTTGTATCGTTATAACACTTTTCACAACCTCAGAAAATCCCAAAATGATGAAGAAAGGTCAAAGAAAACTTTAATGCAAATTGCTGAGGAACATCAAGACAGATCGTAGAAGCTTGTTTTGGTAAATGAAATGGAAAAGATTAGTCAGCACAAAATGTGGCCCAATAGGGGTAATGACAACAGCATTTATAATGTAGAACAAGGAAATGGCAGATAAACTAAACAATTATGTTGTATCTGTCTGCATGGAAGGAAATACAGAAAATCTCCCAGAAATACTAGGTGACTAAGGAACTGGTGGAAGTAAGGAACTAAAAGAAATTAGCAATATTGAACTAAAGCTAAGGCACGTGAAACATTAACTGAACTGAAAGCTGACACATCCCCTGGTCCAAATGAGCTTTATCACAGTGTTAAAAGATGTGAAACAAAACCAGAAAATTCTGGAGAAACTCAGCAGGTCTGGCAGCATCTGTGGAGAGAAAGCAGAGTCAATGTTTTAGGTCAAGTGACCCTTCATTGGAACTGGACCCAAAACATTCCTCTGCTTTCTCTCCACAAACACTGCCAGACCTTCTGAGTTTCTCCAGCAATTTCTGTTTTTTGTTTCAGATTTCCAGCATCTGCTGTCCTTGAATTTATTTTACTGTTATGCTGAAAGAAGTGGCTGAAGAGATAGTGGATGTATCGCTGATTATCTTTCAATATTCGATAGATTCTGGAAAGGTTCCTGCAGACTGGAAAGTAGCAAATATAATGCCAATACTTGAGAAAGGAGGAAGAATGGAGAGCTACTGACTTGTCGGTTTGAAATCAATAGTGGGGAACTAAGTTACAAATTATCATAAAGGATGTGATAACTGAACATTTGAAACCAAATAAGCCAATGTCAGTATTGATTTAGGAAAGCAAAGTTTGACAAACAGAGATTTTGTGGCTATTACTTGTTACATAGACAAAGGAAAACACTGATCGTGGTGTATTGGGACAGTGGATCTTTGAGAACCATAAGAGTAGACGTGGCCACCATTTATCGACTCATCTGGAGATAACACCTCCGACAGTGCGGAACTCCCTCAGTACTGACTGTCAGTTGGATAAGACTTCAATCTAAGCTGCCTGGGGGATCCATTGACTGAATAGGTGATCACAGGAACATTGCTCTATTGACAGAGTAGGGGAATCACAGGAATAGTAGCAAATCATTCAGCCTCTCAATTTCCCATTCCAATTGGTCAACAGATGACTATAGCTCCACCCCCATTAACCTGTATTTGATCCAAATCCCCTAACCTTTATGCCACAAAATGTTATCAATCTCACCCACCTTCCTGCAAAAAGGCCATCCCCTATTCCCAATTCCTTCGCCTCCGCCACATCTGCTCCCGAGATGAGACATTCCACTCCTGGACATCCCAAATGTCCTCGTTTTTCAAGGACCGCAACTTCCCTTCCACAGTGGTCAAAAACGCCCTCGACCATGTCTCTCGCATTTCCCGCAACTCATCCCTCACACCCCCTCCCCGCAATAATAACCAAAACAGAATTCCCCTCGTCCACACGTACCACCCCACCGACCTCCGGATCCAACGCATCATCCTCCGACACTTCCGCCATCTGCAATCCGACGCCACTACCAAAGACATTTTTCCCTCCCCACTCTTCTCTGCTTTCCGGAGGGACCACTCTCTCCGTGACTCCCTTGTCCGCTCCACACTCCCCTCCAGTCCCACCACACCCAGCACTTTTCCCTGCAACCGCAGGAAGTGCTACACCTGCCCCTACACCTCCCCGCTCACCCCCATCCTAGGCCCCAAGAAGACCTTCCACATCAAACAGATGTTCACCTGCACATCTGCTAATGTGGTATACTGTACCCACTGTTCCAGATGTGGCCTCCTCTACATCGGGGAAACCAAGCGGAGACTTGGGGACCACTTTGCGGAACACCTATGCTCGGTTCGCACCAAACAACTGCACCTCCCAGTCACGAACCATTTCAACTCCCCCTCCCACTCCTCGGACGACATGTCCATCCTGGGCCTCCTCCAGTGCCACAACGATGCCACCCGAAGGTTGCAGGAACAGCATCTCATATTTCGCTTGGGAACCCTGCAGCCCAATGGTATCAATGTGGACTTCACAAGCTTCAAAACCTCCCCTCCCCCGACCGCATCCCAAAACCAGCCCAGCTCGTACCCGCCTCCCTAATCTATCCTCCCACCTATCCACTCCTCCCACCTCAAGACCCAATCCCATCTCCTACCTACTAGCCTCATCCCGCCTCCTTGACCTGTCCGTCCTCCCTGGACCGATCTATCCCCTCCCTAACTCCCCACCTACACTCACCTTTACTGGCTTCATCCCCGCCTCCTTGACCTGTCTGTCTCCTCTCCACCTATCTTCTCCTTTATCCATCTTCTATCTGCCTCCCCCTTTCTCCCTATTTATTTCAGAATCCCATTCCCCTCCCCCATTTCTGAAGAAGGGTCTAGACCCGAAACGTCAGCTTTCCTGCTCCTCTGATGCTGCTTGGCCTGCTGTGTTCATCCAGCTCTACACCTTGTTGTCTCAATCCTAGTCCTGGCAGCTTTCATTTAATCCCAAATCCACACGTTTTTCAGGGAGAATGGTCCAGATTTCAAGTTTCTTTTCTGACTAAGAGATCACTGATAAGCCTCAGTTAACACAGTCAAGCTCAGCTGAACTGCCATTTGCTGCTCGAGGTCTCATACCTTTGCAGTTAACACCAGCCGCTGCAGCTGTGCTCCGACTGTAATTCACTGCAATGACTTTACAATGTGTGAGCAGCACCATGATTCGCTCTATAAATCCAAGGGCAGCTTCTCTCATTTCTTGTTTGGAAGTTGGGTGAATTCATACGAAATGTGTAGAAACTGCATGAGGTGAGGAAGAAAGGAGGATCTCCCTTCCGATTTTAGCCACTATCCATTTAGTTTCTCTCCACAGTGGCACGTTTTCCCTTTTTTTGAGGGGGGGGCGTGGTTTGCGCAGTCACAGGGTGAGGGAGGAGAGAAGGGAGAGAAATTCGAACCCTTTCTTCTCTTGCAGCCATGATCCACATTCTCATCGCATGGTCTCAGGTTTATGGCATTAGAAAATTATACAACATCCTTTTGCAATAACTAACTGCAGGGTAACTCCATCAAAGGCAGTAGTGGAGTATCACAAAATGGAAATCATTGCTTACTTTCCAGGATCGGTGTCAAGGGCACATAAACAAAGATCAGATCAATCGTATACAATGAAGCTAAAGGGAGGAAGGGGTGTGTGTGTATGCAGATCAGTTAACGCGAATTTGAAGAGGAGCATAAGAGAACAGTTCAGAATATCACATAATACTTTTAGACGAACTGAATTAAGAGAGTTTGAACAGAGGCAGGGGGCTGTGTGGAGGTGAGAGAGAGTTACACTAGTTATAGCCACCAATTAACCTGCAGTGACGACAATTGAAATGGTCAAGTCAGAGTTGGTCCTATTGAAAAGCTGCTTTGGTTTCACCAACAATTTGCAATGTCATTCAGACACAAGATTGCCTGAACAAACACCCTCCCATTAAAGGTAGATAAAATTCCCCTGAACCTCTCAATTAAGATTCCAGCCTGGAATTCATTCCCGCTATCTGTTACTCTATATATAAACATGTTCCTGAACCCCTCGATTAGTTTCCAGTCTGTAAATCACTCTGTACTCTACACAGAAACCCCCCAATCCCTCGAGTTTCCAGTCTCTAATTCAATCCCACTTATCTGTTACACTACATATAACACCCCAAACCCCTCGATTAGCTTCCAGTCTGTAACTCATTCCCAGGTATCTGCTATTCAATATATAATCCACCCAAACCCCTTGATAATTTAACAATCTTGTCGAAGTTCAATCCACACCTTAAGGTCTGTCACTCACTGATAGATGAGTACAGTGGAAGCAGTGATCCAGGATCTAAGGAACCAGACATCGTGTGCTGGCTCCTGCAAGGTTCCAGCAGTTATTGGTGAACAGTTCGAGGTACAGCAGCTGGTGAGTAATGTCTGCAATAAGAACAAAGGATAAATTAGCCAGATTAGATTAATACTTCCACTCACTATACTGCCTAAGGGGTCCTGTGGTCAAGTGCTGAATTGGGTATCGAGGTCCAGCATAGTGTATATTGGGGGTATGAGGTGATTTCTTCAGGTGATTACCCTTTTTCTGAGCACAAATGTTATTTCTTTGGCAATTAAATCAAAGACACAGTAAAATCAAAGTTGAATCCATCTGCATCCAACAAACTCAACAAATGTAAAGCATAGCAATGGCAGATTGCAGGGTGATTGGAGTACATGAACATTTTCATTCTCTATTAATGCCTCCTTCCCTCTGACAAACTTTAAAGCCCAAGCCTGAGTCACCCACCCACTCTATTTACCTCAATTCTCTCCCAGGGACCCTATGCTGGGCTTTTACCAAGGTAAATAAATTAGCCTTGCTGCATTAAATTCACACCGGTGTCACAGCCAGAGTCACCCGCAGAATAGTCAAGTTCCACCTACCAGATCCTGGCAGAAAAATACTGATTGATTTCTGAAAAGTCAATCTACATTGTGATCGCCAGGGTCTCTTCGATTGGTGGCTGTGGGGAGTGGGATGCAGACATACTTCTAAATTGATTAATGAGAAACCTTCAAAACCCTGGGAAAGAAGAGGGAAAAGATAGATAAGAGCCTCTATCCAACATGTCCTGTAGCTACAAGTTAGTTATGTTTCAATGAAGAGGTTGGTCAAACTTAATTAATTGAGTGAGTTAATTATGAATGAGTCAGGTCCAAGTAATAAAGACTATTACTTTATATAATTGATGGTGAAATACTACTACAGCTTTCAGACTAGAGTTCATCAACAACACACATATTTAATAAAAACCGAAAGAACTGCAGATGCTGTAAATTAGGAACAAAAACAAAGTTGCTGGAAAAGCTCAGCAGGTCTGGCAGCATCTGTGAAGGAAAAAACAGTGTTAAGGTTTCGGGTCCGGTGTTCTGAGGAAGGAACAAGTCTACAGAGGAACGTGCACAGGATTAATGTCATGAAGCACAGCTGTCAATATCAAAGCACAATGCTGCATGATCTTCGTCCTTGTGAATAGGGGTTTCAAGCTTTCAGTTCTAAACAACAACCCGCATCCACTCGTCTCATCCCCACTATCCCCTTCACGCAGGTACGAAGTAACTGCCTTGTGAAGGAAAATGGAGTGAGGTGAAGTTCCTGTTGACCAAACAGAGCAGCATGAACCAGAATGACCAAAATGGTCAGTCTCCGCACTGTAAATTCTATGTGTTGCTCAAAAAACCTTGCAACTTCTTCTGGTTGAGGAACAATAACAGTTTGTTTAATTTTCAATTCAGGGACTGATGGGGAGTAGGGTGTTGATGTGGGAGATTGATGGGGAGGGGGAACTGATGGGGAGGGGGAACTGATGGGGAGGGG